CGGGGGAAAAAAAAAGTAAGCAAATAGATAAACACGTGGTGTATACCTTAGACCAGAACGCGCATACTTCGCCGATCTATAGCATACATGCAGTCGGTCTTTCGCAAAAGAGCACAGCGGCTCCCCCTTTGCGCAGTGTCAGCAGTCGCGAGACTTGTCTCATCCATTTACATTATTGTGGTGCCTTCCTACTTCCGCACATTTTTGCGCCTTTCACTTGATATGAAATGTGGTGTTTATTTATTTAATTTACACTGAGGATATGAAGTGCAAGTCCATCGATTATTTTCATGCTTTGCCCCACGGAAGGGGGGGGGGGTGAACGACTTATTCATTATATGTTCAGAACAGGCAAGGGATGCACACAACTAAAAAAAAGAAAGTTGTAGAGCAGTTTGATTACTTGATATGCTGAAACTCTACAATCCCGCCGCTGTCATCCCATATTTACTGACATAACGTCATAATATGCCCGAAATAAACAAGCGAAAAGTAACTTTTTGTATGCACCTGACGATGTCGCGTTATGTGTCGCTTTATCTGTGCGGACACTATATGTGTGAACTTTTAGTACTGTCGTGTAACTTGGTTTGATGTGTAATGGGATTTGGTAACATATTGGTACCCACGTTACTGTAGCATTTGATGGTAAATAGTGTTACCTGCCAGGACTGTATTTCGGGACGTCTTTAGCTGCACTTTGTGACTGGACATCACGTTTAGGTGAATCGCTGTGAGTTGACTAGCTTGCTATTGCTTGGCGTGACTTTATATAGCTCTCTTCTATTTATTTTTAAGCATCCTCAAATCTGTGAAAAGTAACCGGTACTATATAAAAAACGAATATCTAGTTATCAAAACGTAATCATAAGAGACACCAGCTGGTACAGTGTGAGAGAAAATTCATGTTTGCGTACATAAAGTGCCTCTGACGGACAGCTATAAAATCAGTGAGGACAAAGAGATAACAACAACAAAAAAAGAAAAACGCGGTCAGAGCAGCACCCGCTGGAGATGGCTCAAGTTAAAAGGCGCGCTCTTAGTCGGCCCAAAGCCGTGGAGACGCCGAAATCCCAAACACTCTATTTCTTTTACGGCCAGCGTTCGCAAATGGTTCAGCGCTCTCGGTCCGAAACAATATAAAGCGGCGAGACGAGCCAACTGTTCCCCTGCAGCACATCCCGCCGACGCTAAGAACAAGCGCGGCATTTAGAAACAAGCAAAACAAATTCATTACAATCTAACGAACACGACTCCAAACAGTGGCACCCCGGTCCAGCCTATTTCCGCAAATAGCCCGGCGTTAGAGGCACACGCAGGCGGTGGTTCCGACAAGCGGAAGAGCGGCCGATTGAGCTCCTTCTCGAAGAGCCAGAGCCCAGGGCTCAAGCAGATGAAAGAGCAGCGGCTCTTCGGTCAGATGCTGGAAGGAGAAGAAAAAAAAGGGCCTTTTCGGACGTCGACCAGCCGTCTTTTTGGCCAGTTGCACGGCTTTCATCAGGAGGAGGCACCTTCCTCGGACGAGCGCTTGCTCGGGGGACGGCGGACAGTAAAAACCACGGCGACTCTTCGCGCCGGCCGCACATAGATTCCACTTAGCGGGGTCCTACCGCGCGGCGCTGCGGCGAGGAAGTGTAAACCGCTCAGTCGTTAATGTCATATCCGCGGCCTGCAGCGGCTTCCTCGCGCTGGGGTTGGGGCTCGATTCGGCTCTTGTTTATAGAGATGGGCTCTCGGCGGCCGATTAAGGTGAGTGCGGGACGTAAAGATGTGTCGCGCGTTCAGCTTGCCGGAGCCAGCGTGCACGCGGTGGCGCTGACTCTGCTGCAGGGTGCGATACTGGGCACCGCGAGCGCAGTTTTTTCCTCTCCCCATTCTTCGACGATTCGTGACCCGCGCACGTCCCGCTTTGGTTTTCTAGTTGTAAGGGATATTTATCAAACTAGAACATACTATTAAGCGCACATATCGATCTGTGCTACTCCGTTTTCTTTTTCTTTTTTCTTTTACTGCTCATGGGATACCGTGTGTTCGATAACAGGTTCTTTTTGTTCTTCTCCCTCGAGGTCCTCCGCGGATCTGGGAATAGCTTAGAAGCGCCACTGCGGCGTTTACTGCATCTGTGCCGTGTATGTCGGTCGTGATCGCTACAAGTGATGTTCAAGTAAAATGAGAAAGACCAGGATAGCATGCGCTTTTTTGCCGTTTATTCGATTCTATATTTTTAGACGCGAAATAAGACGGTCATGATTTGTCTATATTAGGTTTGTACAAGGTGCTGACGAGAAAGAAAAACTCAACGCGTTAATGTTGCAGGTACATACACTCGACTAATTTTTCAATATTTTAACTACTTTATTTAGATCGCGTTCTATCGCTTCCAAACCGTGCACGCGCGTACGTGCGTGTGCTTGTGCGTGTATTAACTGCAGTAGCATTCTGTAGTAATGGTTAAGCGCCATGCACAAGCCTACGTAGGTACTTATTATTTTGCCACGGCACAGAAAGGAAGCGCAAAAAAATTCGAAATAAGCCAGACGGACGAGAAGACAAAGTGAACATAAGTGCTTTTCCAGGTATTTCGTCTGGTAGCCATCTTGCGTCTCTTAATTATAGCCTAAAAATTACCCACGTGGGCTTTGCGCTGATGGCTGGAAGGCGCCTTCAGGCACGTGTACAAGAATAGAAACAAGTGATGCTGGGATGGGCAAATAAACCGTGTGTGCTTCACACAAACCTGCATTCTTTGTGTTGTTTAATAAGCGGTGGTAGCACGCATATATATACCTGCGCACGCTATATGAATCTGCGCTGCGGTTCTGCAACATTATGTGGCGCTGCAGGCACGTACGCTTTCTTTTACAGCAGGGCTGTTATGCTGGAGGTTGCTGTGTGTCGTTGATAGAAAATTATCCTCATCGCGAACCGGCACGTGCTCTCTTCATCTTCTTCTTCATCATGTGCTTCGCTCCCCGAACACGTGCGCCGATATCTCTGGCGTGGGATGCAGATGAGAGAGAGCGTGGGATGCAGAGGGTGAGAGAGATGGGTGGATGCATAAAAAAGAAAGAAAGAAATATTACGATATGGAGGGGAAGTAGATAAATAAAGATGTTATAGGCATCTATTATGAGCTTCATCCTCATCTGGACGTCAGTCAATCGTCATCACCTGGCCAATAAACCTCGTTACAACCGAGTATGTCATAGTATAAAGAATGTAAAGAAAAAAAGAGAAAAAGAAGATGAAAGAACTACTAGAGAGAGAGAGACATAGAAAGAGAAGGAAAAATTAGAAAGAGATGGAACAAACAGGCAAAGGTAGATAAGCTGCGATTGAAATAACCAGAGAGAAAGAGATAGAAAGAAACAGTCGCAAAAAAAAGCTACAAAAGAAAAGGATAGTAAGTATGGCCTTGTATAAAGTATGGTGTGGTGCGGTGTGGTGAGGTGTAGTGTGGTATGGTATGGTATGACATGATATGGTATGGCATAGTACAGCAAGGGGTGAGGAAGAGAGAGGTGTGAGGAAGAGAGGTGAGAGCCTAGCCAAGACCAGCTATGCCCACGTGCTCTCCTGTGACCTATCCTTGCGTGACTAAGCGCAAGTTCAGCTTTTTTTCTTTGTTTATTTGTTTTTGTTTTTAAAGCAAAAGACCAAGTAGAATTAGGACACATTCAATGCAATACGCAGAACTCCTCTTGTAGAATCGAACAGCATGGGTTGCGATGAACTCGTGGGGCCTTTTGCGGGACTTGCCCCTCTCCAGATGGGTGGTGGGACTGACGTCGTTAAGGTAGTAAGACGTCGTTTGTGTTGCGCGCCTCTAACCGTGCTACGAGCGAAATGAACTGTGCGCTGAGACCGCGGCGAAATCAGTGGCCATGGCTCTTTCTATTGGCATGGGCTTAACGGTGCGTCAGAATTTTCGACGTTGACATCCGGCAAGAAAGCGCTGTCGTCCCTAGTAAGCGATATATGTTGACGGTCTGCGCGCACGGTTCTCTGGCTCGAAGCACGGTTGTCAGCGCCGCAGTACGGTCACGCCTGAGTGCAGCCACGAGGTTCTATTTCATATTTTGTGGACTTTTTTTTTCAAACGCCGGAGAAAAAAAAAGGTGTGGCATGTATATTGCCATAGAAAATAGGAATGGGTCGGTTTCGAACGCCCGTTGCAGCATAACAAAACGCACTTGGCGCTAAGGTGAATGGTAAAAATTTTGCATATATTACTTTATTTAGTTAACCAGTTAAGCGCAATGCAACAACACTTAATGAGCGCCACATGATGAAAACCATATTTTGTTGATAGGATTCAGTTGTCGTGAACCACTTTTGCATTTAATCCTTGAATATGGTTATTTGGAACACGCGGTATATATAAGCATTGTATCAGCTACTTTCGTCTGCACATATGTCAGTGCACGTAGCACCTTTAAGAAGCGCCGTGTGTTCATCTTGCTTAGTTACTCGTCACAAATTAGGCAAGTGTTCTGCCCATCTTGGTGGCAGTTGTTAGCCCTGCTTCCTCCCTCTCCTCGTTGTGTCCTTTTATATTTGTGTGTGTAAATCGAATAATAATAATAATAATAATAATAATAATAATAATAATAATAATAATAATAATAATAATAATAATAATAATAATAATAATAAATTAAAAACGTTCGGCTATCTGAGACCAAATTAGGCTGGTATATATTTAAAACAGCAAAACACAATCATAATATAGAAGAGAAACATTTAATATTTTGTAATATATATTTATTACTTTATCAACTGAGCACCTATTTCAACTGGGAATTCTTTTTTTATGTACGGTACTCGAAATAATTCTCTTAACAGCCCTAGTCGCACGTCACACAACTTCATTGTCTGCCTTGCAAGGTATACAGTGCTATAGTGTGCATATCCAGCAAAATAGGTTATCGTATTTTCGTATAGTACTTGCGAAAAAACGGGTTATGAGCGGTGTTTACATTGGGCTGTCTTCTTTGCAGGAATCTTAGATATGCCACGCCCAAGGATCTAGCGCTTTGGTTGACCATACAAAGGCTCCACCACGGCAGATAGCGGGGAAGAGAGAAATCTGTGCATCAAGGTAACCGCCACTTGATTTTCAATTGGGCTTCTCACACTTTGTGTCAGCACTGTGTAATTATGCTTGCCAGAGATTCACTGGTTGGTGCTGCTAGCAGCACGTGATCATTACTCGCTTGCCGAATTATACTCATGGACCGGCGTTTGCACACGGACTCAGCACGCAGCAGCTGTAAGTGAACGGCACTTTCCGGAAGGTTGCGATGACCTAAGCCTTCACCCTTTTCGGATGCGTCACACGTGCTTCTGGACGCGCAGACATGGTGACCGTGAGACTGCAAGCGCAACTGTTCTCAGAGCCTGAGGACGCTGAGGCGATGTGACACTCTATATCGAAATGAATGGCGCTCTTGAACAAAGTGGCAGAACCGCCTGCGGTGATACACAATGACATCCGATGCGTTCTCGAATAAAACTATATATACGTTGTCGTTGGCGTAACACCAGATAGCAGCAAACAAGGAGAATTGCCGCTTCCTGACCTCACTGTGCCTTTGACGCGGCGCACTATAAAGTATATATTTGTCGACGAAGGGCGTTCGAGGGTCTCGCGCGGAAAGCGCCTGCACTTGCTCGTGGCTAACGAGCAGCATTTCCCGCCGGCCAGTGGAAAGCGTTGGCGGCCAAGTAAGCCGCTCGCAATCAGTGGCAGCCGCGTCCGACCCCGTCGCGCTGACCGTGTGGCGGTGCAGCCGTAACCCGAATTGCCGCAATGGCTTGACCCCTTTAGTATTCCGCGGAGAGCGCGCCGGGGACGTGTAGCGGAAGGGGGATACGTGAGCCTCTCGTGGGCAGGGACGGCGCCGAATTGGGGTAATTTCATTTCCTGCCCGGCTGACACCCCGGCTGCCAATAACAAAGACGTTACCCTCCCCAGGGTGCAATGAGGCGACTCATGCTCACCACTGACTAATGAAATATCCCCTAAGAAAGGGTCATCGGGCGCCGTCTGCCGGGAGGCCGCCTCAAGTAGGAAACGTGTCCCGTGCCTGACAAAAACCAGCATCCGCTTCCGAAGCTGGCGCTCGACCGTCTCCGATCAGCGCGTGAGTGACAGTGCCACATGTACATCTTCTGCAGAGCTGAAACACGCTACATCATCACAGCGTCCCACCTTGCATTCAAGAGCTGCTGACGATACACAACGGCACCGACAGTATAGTCTTTGTTGTATCAGGTACACTCGCCTATACCGCGTAAGCGAGAAGCAAAGAAAGATGGTCTCTCGTATTTTCAAGTCTCCTCATTCATTGTGACGATATGTCATCACACAAGAGCAATATCTTCAACTTTTATCATGAGCAGCGCGAGATTAGGCAAAGGTAATCGTATCAAGGTATAAGTGTGCAACTTCTTGGACGAAACACATAATGGAGGTCAGTCATCTTTAAAGGGCAATAACAACTTAATTTGCTGGGGAGCTTGAGAGCTGTGCAGCTGTGTCTGTTATTGTTGTTGTTGTCGTTGTTGTGGTTATTGTTATTATTATTATTATTATTGTTGTTGTTGTTGTTGTTGTTGTTGTTGTTGTTGTTCTGCCTTAATGATATTAAAATTTCTGCTTACGTAAGCGCTTTTAAGTTGGTACGTAATGTTATGGTGGATCCTCAACCACTATGCTCTGCTGGTCAGCACGTTCTACATACGTCTTTGTGATCCGCAGTACACCGCGTAAAACTGTATAACCCGGCATGTATAACTTATTTTACGCTACGTAAATATCTCTGGATAAATGATCGGGGCATGTTATAGCGAGCCATTCGCGAGTACGCTCAGCTTCTGGTACATTTAAGACACTGGTGTCGTGCAGCTTTCTGTACTTCCCGTTTAACAGTGAACAACGCGAACATCTCAGGTATATACAGCAAGTTTTAAATTCAGCAGTTCACAAACGGCTTTGCGGGATACATTCGTGTTGTTTTCTCCATGTTAAAGAGGAATAGCTATATCCGTTGTTAAAGTACTCGAAAAGAATTACCACATTCAGATATATATTTCAAGAGTTTAATTTCGACCCACGTACACTGGCGTTAATGTAGTTGCATATATGCATGCCTACTCGGGTAATAAAAGCAGAGGTCTACTTTGAGGTACTTTCGTGATATAAAGATGCATCCGTAAAATGGCGAGCATGAGTGTACGATTCCTCTATGTTGAAGGTCTAGCTTGATGCGCAATGTACTTGGTGTTGCGTGCGAGCAAGTTCAGGCAAGTGTTTCACACTTATCACAAGCATAATGCAGAATAATTTTACGTTGGTAGTATATAATGTATATCGGTTTTACTGCACTATACAGTAACTGACTCGTAGGTTGCCCTATAGGTGACTGTCATGCGTTTACAATCATTTGTACTTATTAACCACTGCGCGAAATAAACGAGGCAAGAAACCAACAATGGTCACACTGAGTTCACTGTAGACAATTCATCGTCCATGACGTGTTGCGCGCTGTTGTAAAGAATAAATGTACGAACAAGCTCAGTGCGTGCTATTTTGAGCATGTATATAGGCGTATATAGCATGTTCTTTTCCGTGTGAACTTGCTTCATGGTGTCGGCATGAATGAATTGATTATGATACTATAGGGCATTTCACAGAGGCATGTGATTAGAGTGATCGTCACGTTGGAATGCAACGCTTGATCTGAACAATACAAAAAACAAATTACGTGCGTTCGTAGTGCACGAATATATCAAGCAAACACAAGGCTTCGTATATCCTTCGTGCTTTTTTTTTTTACCTCTGGCAACTCACTTACATCTGCGCTTCCAGTTTTTCCCCCGTCTTTTATCTCTTTTAATGCGTTGGCTGTTCGTCGTCAGCGAGTATGGAAAAACGAATGTCTATAGGTATAGAGAACCCTGTTCGTGGGTGCATTTGCGGTTTTTCGCTTGAGGTAGTGCCCATTAATTCTTCTTCAGTCTGCGCTGCGCTGTTGGCTTCCTACTGGGAGAGATAATTAAAGGTGTTTGTGTGCGGACACTCGCTGTGCAGGTTCCGTTTTCCTGTAACTTGAGCAGTTTATCTGGTCGACATCATGCGAGCCCTTAAAGCGAAGCTGCCGGGAAAAAAAAAATGCTCCGAAGGCTTTGCAATTCGCTCATTACGCCCGTCTTCTCGCCAAAGCATGCGTATGCCGCGTGTAAGCGAACCACGTCGTTGACAGATCGTTTTGTGAAATCTGCAGCACTGACCAGACTTCTGATCAGCCTGACTCTATAGATAAGCTATTCCCGCGGAGTACACCGCACAGGGGCGGGTCCGCAGCGCCCAGTATACTCAAGGAGCTCGGTGTGCTATAGCTGCATGCATGATGATGGCGATGCGACTATGGGCTGTCAGTGCTGAGCGGAGATCCTATATATATGGCGACGCTGAAAACCGCGTGCTTTCAAGGACAAGGCGCGTTCATCGTCCTTCGGCCCTGTAACAACGTTCGTGTCCACGCCTGTTCGTGTGTACACTCCACAATAGACTCGAAGCATGTGGTTCCAGTTTTGGAACACTCCGGGCACTGACGTGCTGGAGACATTAAAGAGCCGATGGCGGATGTGTCTCTGTACAGTATAGTGGAGTGCTAACATGCGTTTCGCGTTTCGCGAGGCGACACCTTAGCACGTGCGCTAGCTGGTTCTGATAAAAATCGAACAAGGATAAAACACTCCACTGAACTGCGACGTTCTTCAGCTCTCGCTACCTCTCCCTCTACATATGCGGGCGCGTGTTTGACTGCAGTCTTTTTCTCTTTTTTATTAGAATAGAGACATGTCGCGCCGCGAGCTACACCTCGCATCATCGCCAAAGAAACGTGTAAACAATGGAGAGAAAATTTTAAGGGTACATGAGTAGACGGGCTGACGCATATGAAATGAACTCCAAAAGAGTGGCACTGTTTGTAGGTGTTCTTATCATTTAGCCTAGATAACAAGATTTGAGTTTGGCGTTCTCGCGACCGGTACGAAATCGGTAAAGCAGCACTGCGTCCCCCTTTCTGTTTTATTGCCGCGCCTAATGGCATCATTTTAATGAGGCCTTCCTGGTACGTTGTCCTATATGGTATCGTATTTCACACTCTTGGATAAATACCCGTTTTCATTTTTTTATCTCTGTAGTTTAAATTTCATTATTGAACGGCGCTTCAGCGAGATGTTCCAGAAACAGGCAGTATAGGAGGCCATGACGCATGGGCTGGTTTTCTCATAAAACAACACATTCTCGCACGATTTTTCATTTGTTCACCCCCTGTCAATAACTGCGAGCATGTAGCCACAGTAACGATAACCGCTCACAGGGGGCGTCTGCTTCACACGCCTTTTTGTATTTTGTTTACAACATAGTATACATCACTTAGTGAGCACACTACCCACGTGCATATGACAAATTGATTGCGTGTATAGCCCCACTTATGTAGCTGCAAACATTGCAGTCGCAATAGAAGAGCTGTAATTTGTAACACGCAAATGTATAAGTTTGGTTCTAATATGAACCAACGTATGTAAAGCTATGCGCTATGAAACCTCATATCTCACTAAAGTTTGAAAGGAGGTCCATGTGACCAATTTCAGTGGACGTAAAAGCAGCATACTCCACAAAAAGATATCCACACTATATTTTTGCGTTGCGAACCGACAAGCGTAGTGTAAAACAGTGTAAGAAGCGCGTCTTTATTCTCATTAAAAATCAAAGCGGTGCCAGACGTCTGACCCGATATGCGACCTCACGGGCGCGGCTTTCAGTCAGCAGCTACGCATGGTGAGATCCGTGTAACTCGGAGTGCGCGAAACCGCCAAATAAAATGCATCGCAGCCCACGAACAGGATAGCGATCAAAAAAAGAGGCGCACGAGTTCATCGCGGTGCGTTACTTCTATAGGCTCCGATATGAGAAATGCGGTATGGTGAACGGTGGTTTAGAGGCAATTGAAAAGATTACATAACAAAGACAGCTTTTCTTTCGGCAAAGAGCTGTCGTTTTCGCACCATCCCGTCGCAACATTTTGTTATCTTCATCTCCGCTGTACTGAACTCTTCTGAGAAAGAACAGAAAAAAAGAGAGCATGGTGTGTGCATGGCCACTGAAATGCGTTGTACAATTAACATCGCATAGCAAATATTTCCTGTTAGGCTCTGGTCAGTGTTACCTAAAAGGGTACTGACACCAATTTTCGAATGTGAGTTCGCTCTGCCCTACAGAGACGGCTGTGAGCAAGCGTGAAGCTCAGCGAATGCTGATGAGGTATTTTATTCTGTCATTAAAGTTGATTTACGCGTGGCACACCTTCTGACATCGACGCTATTGTGACTTCAGGCTGCATAGTTAATTCTGGTTACTTCAAGCACCAGTGGCTTGTTGTGATGACGTCAGGTGTATGAAAACTTTCAAAATGGTCGCTTTTGTGTCACCAACGCAGCCACGGAGCTAGTCGTAACGGCCGTGGAAACATCACAAGCTCTGGTTTGAGCACGTGATGAGGAGCTCGTATACTACTGCGTTGTGACGTTAGGATATCATCATAAGAACCGAATGTGGCTTTTAGAAACATGCCATGATGACGTTTCCAGTGTGCACTTACGCTTAGCAGTAGATTTCATAGGCTATTGAGGGCTTTGCCTTCAATAGCCTTTTCATTCGACGCAAAATGACGGCAACTTAAAATGTTTGTGTCTGTATAACTCCTTTAGCATCGCATCGTTGTCCGTGCTCCGTATACATACATATGAAAAATATGGCTATTGTTCTAAACTTGCAATCACTGCAATTAAGCTTTGTTCACGACGTACCCCGACACTGACGTAATGTCATCGCGACAAGATCAAATAAGAAGCACCCAAGCGCAATTTTCCCGTGCTTCCATCACGTCAAACGCGCGCACGTCTTGTGGCGTCCGTTTAGTGGCGCGCATGACAGCCGCTGAATCCACACAACCGTAAACTGGTGCGTCGTGCACGCGCAGAAGCTATACTTTGTTTGCAGCTGTTCTCGGCCCGTCAGAAGGCGCTTCGTACGCGTGACCATTATCCAGAATATTCCTCTTACGCGTCACCGGCGCGCTTCAGAGCAGAGGGCAAAGCATGGCGTCCGAGGCACTTCGAGCCGTCTCACCCTCGTGTGCCACTTAAGCGGAAGAGCATTCAGCTTCCTCATTAAGAAAAAAAAAATTGCGCACGCTAAAGTGATGTTCTTACGGACTCGAGAACATCACGCTGGCTTGCCTCTTGTTTGTTTGTGCACAATTACGGTGATATAAACACGAATAATGCCAGTGGCTCCGCCGAGACGCTTCAGCGTTGCCAGGTATCCGCGACGCCGTCCCAAAGCTGCCATTGTTCCTCGGCTCTCAGATAGCCGCTCATAAAACCGGAGAACCGAGCAGCGGCTACAAAGCGAAAGAAGGCGGGAAAGAAAGGAATATAAAAAAAAAAGTGAACCGGCGAAAACGCGAAGCTGTACGAGTAACAAAGTGAGCGAAGACGGAGCAGCGCGGCCGCACAATAAGAGCAGTGCAATTACCGCGCCAAATTCGAACAATCACGGCTGCAAACAATCACGGCCAAATTGGAAGCGAGCGTGGCGCGCACAGTGTAAATGGCGCTGAGCGTATGTCAGGCAGCTCCGGCGCGGCTTTTGTTTCGCCGCTCCTGTTGTGTGTCTTCATCCCACTTAATTTGGTAATTATCACTGTGGCTATGTCAGCAAACACTGGGCACACATGCAGGACATGCAGACGACTCGAGTGCGGCTTGAACGGCATCCGTGGAAACGGCAGTGTGACCGGCGCGCCGTTTTTAAAATCGATATTCTACTCTTCGCGCGTTGAGTGCTCCTTCTTTCAGTAAGTTACAACTTTTGTCGCCTTAAGGGAATTCAGCGTGGCTGCGTTGACCTCATCGTTGGCCCGCGGAGCTGACTCTGCGTGGAGTATGGGAGGTGACAGGAGAAAGGTGTGGTCGGCGCTCTTATCGTGTAAGCGCGACGTAATCACGCCTTGCGAAACCGGATAGCCGTGATGTTCAGCTGCTGCCCTTGTTCGGAGCCGTACATGGTTTCAATGGTTCATGTGATTTTTCTTTGCCTCGCTTCGGGAGACTGATTAGTTGCAAACAGAAGGAGTAGCTGCCTTAGGCCCGTCACAATGAATGATCGTTACATAGCTACACACACTCGGGCCATACGCACGCCAAAGGCGCAGCGTGTGCCGACGGCGTGATTGATCCCCCTCTCGCACATACCGAACGTGACGCACAAAAGAACGCCCGTTTCTTCTCGCAGCGCAGGGAAGAGAAAACGTATCGTCTCGTAATCGGGGCAAGCCAGATGAAAGTCGTGTGTGTGTGTATATGTGCAGATGGGAGAACCTGCTCTCACGACGAGAACATCGCGTGTTCTCAAACACTGGTATTTGGCCCGTATAGTGTTGACTTTTTTTTTTCTTCTTTTCTCTTCTCGCTTTGTAACGGAAGAAAACGGGCCACTCTTCTGCAATTCTGGCCGAACCACCTTTGTTTCTACTACGCGTTTAGCAGGTGTATACATTTGTTTCAGGAATGCCACCAACCCCACTCCACTGCCATCTATGAAGCCAACTAACGCATAGTTCTCGAATGAACCCTCCCATGTCTTTATCGAGAGGCGCTGACCGCAAGCTATAAGTTCCGACGCGATAGGGTCACTCGTTGGTTTGCGCTGCAGTTCCTCCAACGGCTCCTAGTCGGCGCCCCTGGCCCACCAAACGCGAACAAACCAACATCACACGGGCGCAGTCCAGTCACAGACTCGTACACCGGGGAGTCGTTTGTGAAGAGAGCTTAGGACACTAAAAGCGGGGTAGAAAAAAAAAAAGAATCAAGAGGGCAGGAATAGACGCAAGAAACCGAGAAAGGAGGCAAGCGAAAATAACGGCAGAAAGGAAAATAAATATTAATAAGAAAAAAAGAGCACGGAAGGCAGTAGACCGACCATTGGGAAAAGCAAAGGGCAAAGCAGGATCACTGGGAGGTGACGCCCCGCTCGTAGGCCGCTCTCTTGAATGGGGAAGTGGTGGTGGTCTGCCTTGCTGGAGAACGGAAAAACGTAAATAAATCGGAAGAACACGACGCTGAGGGACCGAGAGAGGTCACAGAAGGGAAACGCTCTTTTCACGCGCGAGAAAAGAAAGCCCACAGAGCGCGTATACATGTCAGCTCCCGTCTGGTTGAAAACGTCGTATACATGGCCTCTCTTGGCTCAGCAATGCGCCTGAAGTTGTGGCCTAAAGATGACACTCGCTTTCTCAAAGGAGTTTATGTTATTAGTGACGAGTTAAAAGATATCTGGTGCTGCTATGTTATTCTTCTCATATTTTGGATCAAAGGAGGATAAATAACTTGGCGGGGCAAATTGTTCTTATGTGTGCGGGTTTCTGTGGACACAGTGCGTGCTTTTACAATGTGTATTCAATTGATTGATTGATTAATTGATTGATTGATTGATTGATTGATTGACTGGTTTATAGGTATTGTTTCTCTTTGCCTTCTTCTTGAGAAGTAGCTTTAATGTTTGTTTCCAACTTGATTAGTGTGTCACGCAGGTTTATAGCACTGAACACGCAGTGCGAAGCACGTCGGCATAGGTGCTGTGCCACGCCTTCAATATCAGCCACGGACGTACATACACAGTGCATGTGTGCTACAATGGTGTTTGAAAGGCTACATTGTCGTTTACACGTTTTGTCTTCCTAGTTTTATTTCATAATTTCGGCTTTGTTGGAACTAAGCTATACAGTGTGCGTGTAGTAGGAGTGATGCAAGACTACTATAATAAACGGGGAAATGATGGCGGGCTACAGCACGGTTGGTAAACATGTTAGGGCTAAATGTTAAACGATGCATGAGACAGGAGGAAATAACAGACGGACGAACTGCTCTTTCGTCTCTCCCTTGCGTTGATATTTTGTGTAGCTGTGGTTGAAAGATGCTCATTATACTATTATTGTATGTAATCGAATATTAGGGATGTTATGGTTGTATAACTATAACAATGTTCATGAAATGAGCTGCAAGTGAAAAGCTGGCCTTTTTGCGGTTTGTTTGAAGACCTTCCTTTTACCTCCCTGACCTAGAGCTGTTGTCCGCTGGTCACTCTGTTGCCGACTGCATGGGTGCGTCAGCACTGAACGAGTGTGTACGCCGAATTCTGAATGCTCCCACGAAATTTTGCACGTTACTGAAAACAATATGCTGAACGTTTGTCCAATTTTATTATTTTTTTTTAGCACGAAGAAGTAGCGCTGTTCATTCTAGAAGTGGTGGCGCATGGGTACTTTTCCCCTCGTTTCGGTTTGATCGCCGTAGTAGTTGACGTTAAGTCGCTACTAGGAACCGGGGGTTCATGAGTAACTCATGCCGAACGCGTAGAACTGCTAAACCCTTGCCATTCTTTTAAACAAGAAATGTTCCAGGCTAATTGCCAGAAAAGTGCCTGGGAGGTGCACAGCATCGCCTTTATTGTGTCCCGCTGCACTCAGCGTGCTGGCTAAGCGCTCGTGTGTGTGGTCTGGCTTTTTCGTAAGAACAGCGAAAGGTAGAGCATGTTTGTCGGTCGCCGATAGTGTCTGCCAGTGGGGCGTTCTGTCACGGTCGGCAACGCAGAGACAGAGCGATAATAGAGAAGGAAGCTGCGGGCCTGAAAGCGGTGGCCCTCCCAATCTCGGCCGGCGGCTGCCCTCCGCGGGAAGTCGTCAACAGCGGCACAGAGTCGCTCGCGAAAAAGCCACCCACACATGGCGCGCGCGGGGCAGCAAGGGGGCGCCCCCATAAGTCCCCCCGCTGACCCCCCCGCGGGAGAGGAGGTCACACCGCTTGCTCCCCTCGGCAGGTCCCGATGCCAGGCCAGACGACTCAGAGTCTTCATGGCAGCGCTCCAGCCGCCGGGACGCCGTGTTGCGAGTCCGGGCGCCCCGTCTTGACCGACCCGATCACCGGCCAGACGGTGTGCTCCTGCCAGTACGACGCGCAGCTGCTCAACTACCAGAGGCTCGCCGGGCTGCCCATCAACATGTACGGGACAGCGGCGGCGTACGCCGGGGACCAAGGCTTCCTGCCCCTCGGCGCCGCCGAGCAGTCCGCCTTCTACTCGCCTTCGGTGAGTGCCACTCTCTGCCCACGTGGGCGCGCGCATCCACGTGAGCACGCTCTCTTGCCTGCGCGCTCCTGGCCGCCCCGCAATTTGCTCCCATTCACAACCGCTATCACGTGCTGGTCGCGCTTGTTTTGTTTGTCGTGCGTGTGGCCCGTTCAACTGATATCATCGTATATGCTTCGAGCCCTGTAGTCTAGTTAGTCTAGTTAGTCACTAGCAGCTCTTTCGAAGCCATTGAGAGCTCTTATGTCACAGATTCGCTCCTGGCAGCGGCGATGGCCGCATTTCGAGAAAGACGACATGGAAAGAAATAAACACACTCGTGTGCTTAGAGGAAATTAGAGTGTCCCAGATGGTCAAAATTAATCTAACCTCACAAACTATGTGACGTGGCTCGCGATTAGATTGTAGTTTTGTCATGTAAAACGTTTGGATTTACGTAGTTTATAATCATTAAGAGCAGAAAACGCTTCCCCGGGTAGGCGAAATAAAAGCTTCAGGTATGTCTGTTTTTTATATGATACGATGTAGAAGCGGCCCTTGTTGACTTTACTCCTTATCTTAACGGACGTCGCCGTTGCTTCATTACGCAATTATAACACAAACATATGTGGCAAAATAACATTAGCACAGTGTTCAGTGAGGTAGATCTCTCTCATTGTGATGGGTACTACATGAAGCATATGCGAGTGAAGGGCCGCTATTGTTATAGAATGATAGAGCACACAAGGCCAATAATACGAATCACTGCGAACGGTCTTTTGTAGGCGTGTTGGCTCCCAATATAATATTTTGGTTCTCAACTTAGGAAAATGAGCTTATTTAGTCTAAATCGACGTATATCTTCTAGACCGTACGTCAGAGAGCGAAAAAAATAAATGAAAATTATTTGTACATGCGAGTTCACACTAGCTAATTGTCATATTTAGCGTCTAGCGATGCGTTGAATTATGAAGCAACAAAGAAGTATACGTAGTACTGTCTCTAAAATGTCACTGCAACCACTGCTAACATACCTCTAAGCATGGTAACTATGTAGCTAACGGAATTCAGCTGCTGAATCGATGCACCCATCTGCATTATGACAACACGTTCGACAAATGCCCCGTGTTCCGATGGATTCGATTCAGGACTATTCATGTTACCAAAGATTTAGCACACTTTGAACTTTTCGTTTTCTTTTGTGCATGTGTTGCGCCGGAAATTCTAACGTCGTTTACTGGATAACGGGTTAAGCAAATATTCCGTGTCCCATGGTGCTATAGCGACAAGTAACTGCATCTTCATAAAACTATTATGACGAAGCATCGAACAATGGAAAGGTGCCAAACTGATCTATAGCACTCGTCTGAAACGTTCTTAACTATTTATAGGCGTCATTTCGTGAAATATTCATTTGTACATTACACGGTAACCGTCTGGTCTCTTGTTTACATAATGATAGGTGTTTTTGTGCATAAACTAGAAGACTAAACTTGGCGGTTGGACGTACACAAGTGTTTGTATTTGTCTGTAACCCCGCATCTTCATCTTATACGTCTTAATGGGCTAAAACAATTACTGAAGTCACCCTCCTTCTCCACTTCTTCCATGTTCACGGGAGGACGAAGGCCTCTCCTTAAACTGTATCATTTTTCATATGTGTGAGCTGATTCTATGTGACCCCTATGAACTTCGCGATTTCATCGCTAGACCTTCGTACTTAATGTCGCTCTCTGCTGCGCCTCCCATCCCTTGGCCTCCGGTACGTTGCCCTGACCACCGGCTGTGAGAGTGTAAACATACCGTTATGAAATTATACCATTTCAAAGTACTTTACAGCAAAGCTGTTGTAATCGAGGTTTGCCGTACGTCGTAGATAAAAGATCCTCGTCATCAGTAATCGGCACTCGTCCAATGAGCACCCAAGAATTATGTACAGATGCTCAACAAGAGAAGCTGAAACATGCCAAGCAGCTCCGCTGTGACCCAGTCTTAGTTTCCGTGACTTAGTGCAACCTGGGTTAATTTTTTTTCTCAGGGCCCATCATACACCAGAACTATTTTTGAAAACAAACAACGTATTATCATCGAAGTCGACCGTCCAACGAGACAGGACTCTTACGAACGAAAGGCCCCCAGTTCGTTTCGATTTGTTTCGTATTACGTGACGCTGTCGTATGGAGAGCACGCACCATACGCTAAATTTCCGTTGCGACGGGGAGGAGTTGCCTGAACTTGTTCAGCCGCGATGCTCGATTTTGTCAAATGGCATTCAATGCCCCAGTGATTTGCTTTGAATTCGTCCCTCTGGCTTCAAAAGAGCTTGTGACGTTGCAAATAGAACACTTCAAACTAAATATCGCGTGATATTTGCTGGTGATACGCAGTTAATTGTGTGTGCACGCAGCCTCGTTGTCTGATGCATTTGGAGAAAAAAAAACAGGAGTGTTCTGAAATTGAAGCCACTAAAGTTAAATAAAGTATAATAAATATAATAAATAAATTCACAAATATGCCCAAAGCCGCAGACACTAATAAATCAATGGCCATAATTACCACAATAGCTGAAAGATCATAGCATAAGAGTTTGCTCGAGTACTTTTAACGAGTACTTTATGAAAACAATAACGTTATACGAGAATGTACGTCTCTATAAAGCTTATAATTTGAAATGGGTCCCTGAGGAAGACTTGTTACCCTTGCTAAAAACTGCATGTCGTGTTATCAGGCATTGACGTGCGCTTAACAATGCTTGAGGTGTATTCTGTGTTTCTAAATAGTAAATTACATAGGTCGCCAAAATTTGTGGCACTCACTAAGAATCACTCAAGAAATGTATCTTGCGCTTTGGACTCACTAGCTCGGACTCCCCAAAAATTTCCCGAGCGGCACTTACTTGGACTGAACTCGCCAATATATTACTCACCCGGACTCACTCACACTCAGACTCACAGCTGGATCTGAGTCTCAATGAGTCCGAGTCAGCCGGCTCATGAGTCTGATAGCCTAGAGGATGCAATCGAGTAAGGACATTCTTCTTGAATTTAAAACATATTACTCACTCACTCGATATATATATGAGTCGACGGGGCGAAGGGGGAGGGGAGGTCAAGAAGGCACCCTTCACGTAATTCATGCCCGTCTTGATCAACAAATATTGAAATGCTGTATGAACAATACTGCTTTCGAATACGTATGACGTGAGTATAAACCTGAATCGAGATAAGGTTGAAAGTAATGCTCAAGCTGTATAGGTAGGACAATAGATCCGCAAAAAAACTCGGAACTTACTCAGATTCACTCGCGGAAGATATTTGGCGCAGTTAACTCACTTGGAGATGGGCTCACCAAAATTTAACCGACCTGAACTCACTCTTGCTTACACTCACGAAAATGTTTTTTAACCGGACTCGCTCGGACTCAAGCTATATTACTCACCCGGACACACTCAGACTTAGACTCACGGCTCGAGCTGAATCTAAGGCACTCTGAGTGAGTCGACTAATAAGTGAGTTTGCCGACCTATGCATTCTATTCGCTTGATTAACTCCCGCTTTTCATTTGCAAGTAAGTGTTAAAGCAGAGTATTGGTAAATTCATATTTTATTTGTCTAACGCCATGGAATGTAATGCTATAGGGGATGTCAGTTGCAGTCTATCTAGTCTGGTCCTTGATACAGCCCCGATAAGCTTAACTAAAGCATAGGTGATATCAACAGCTCAACTGAAACTTAGGTAATACAAACGTAGTTAGAATATTTTGACAACCTTCGTCACTTCTGAACGTTTTCCCAGGCTGCCCCGCCGCGGTGGTCTAGTGGCTAAGCTACTCGGCTGCGGAGGCTGCATTTCCGATGGAGGTGTAAATGCTGTAGGCCCGTGTGCTCAGATTTGGGTTCACGTTAAAGAACCCCAGGTGGTCAAAATTTCTGGAGCCCTCCACTACGGCGTCTCTCATAATCATATGGTGTTTTGGGACGTTAAACTTCACATATCAAATTCTTCCCAGGTACGATATGGAATTTGAGAGGTGCGTTAGGCCTTTGCTGATTTATAAAGCGACCCATAGGAAATGATGGTGCCTGTGTTGACATTCGTAACTTTGTGCATATTGCACCGTCCCAAACTTCTCTTTTTCTCACTCACTCTTTCGAAGCCGTTTTCTCCTTCCGAAGTACAAGGTAGCAAACCGGAGTCTTCCTCTGCCTAACTTCCCTTTTATTTCCTTCATCTTTCACTCTCTCCTGCGCGCTTCCGGAGGAAGGGAAACATTCGCCCACGAGAGTATACGCTGCACTTTGTGGCGGACAAGCGTTAAATGTTCTCCACGAAGTAGTGTGTGCAACGTGTTTCTACTGCGCCGCTGATGCCATCGCTGCGTGCCGAGCCGTAGATGCCTTTGCTCATTTCGGGGCCGACTTTGTCGTTTTGTCCGAGCGAAAATTGGAAGGTGTGGCCGCCGAAAAACATCTTCATGGTCGCGTAAAGATGACAGCGGCTCGCGGGCGCGCGCATACACGGTGTCGACGTGTTCCTCCGCTCAGGGGGTCCGTGAGATGAAAAACGTCTCACCGGGGAGTGTGCCTTGCCAGGTCACGGTGAAGATAGTCGCCTAATCCGGAGATGTCGAGCCGCCTTGTTCAATATGCAGGTGTCACATGTTAACGGGGCTGGCCAAACGTCGGTTCAGCCAGCGTGACCATTTTTGGCTCAGTCGGTAGCGAAGGAGGGGGCCGGCCGCTCATGAAACGCGTAAAATGGTTGTTCACACTCGGGCACGGTTTTTGGGCAGGATCGAGAGAGCAGCCACAAAAGTCGCCATTGTGGTCCTTTGTGCACTTCGCACGCGGGATCATGTCGCGCTCAAGTTAAGCTCAGTTGACAGAGATCCCGTCGCACCCTTTTGTGGTTTTCTCCATGTAGGCGGTAGAATGGCTTCACTGTTGAAACCGAGGGTAGAAAAGAATTCAGAAGCGTTGCCTGGTTCGAGTTCTACCAAAAAAATAAAAAAGGAATGACTG